TGTAAGAACTGGGTGGCGGTGTATTTCCATGCTGAATGGGAATAGGAAGGGTTTAGACAGTTAACAGGACAAAGTTTGAACGAGAATCGTCACAGAATTCTGCACCTCCACCAGCTGTAACACACTGGTAAGTTACCTTATCTCTCTGAACCCCAATTGCCTCATTTGTAAAGCAGTTGTAACAAAGAAATCTTAGATTTAGTATAAGTTTAAATGAAATAATACAAGCAAAGCAGTTAGCCAGGTACCTGGCCATAAGCTCTCAATAAGGGCCTGTCAGCTGTTTTTAGAAGTGGTACAAGTGTACGGGTGGAAACTGAAGTGCTCACATTCAACATTTGGCAAATATTTTTACATTTATCTACTTTTTGCTTATTCATTTAGTTATTCATTCATTTAACCCATTAATGTATTCAGCATATATTTACTGGGCATCTACTACCAGTCAATTCTTACCGCAGTTCATCCCTGTCCAACTGTATTTAGTGGGTTGCAGCCCCAAGGGGAGTTGCGGCTCCCTTCACAAGAGCTGATGGAGTCTAGCTTGGCAGGAGGGGTGCTGGGAGATCTTGTCCCTGTGGCAGTTGGGGCTTTGGAAGTTGTTTTTTGCAGCTCTGCCTCATCAGGCTCAGTTGCCTGAACAGAGCAGACCCCTCTAGTACTTGAGCAGCACTGAGACAGGACAACTTTCCACAGGCTCCTCTGTCCCCCATCCCTCACCCTTGGGGAGGTGTGCCCCCTGTATCTTGAAGGCCCCATCCAGCAAGCCGGAACCCACTTTCTCTACTGTGGGACTCTGTCACCTAGGACTGACCTCTGTTGGTGGCCCACTGTGCTTTGCTGTCCTAGGATTCCTGGAACAATCCTGTGCTTTTGATACCCCATCATCTCTACACTCTATTTTTTTAGTGCCCTTGCAGCCCTCACTGTGCATCTCAGTGCCTGTCTCCATTTGCCTGGAGTCTCCACACCACGACTCACACTTGTTTTGGGACCATCTAACTTCTCTGGGCCATCGTCTTTGGCCCCCTTCATGCCCTGTACTTGGGCTGTGTGGCAGGGATGTTACTGGGCAGGCACCCTGCTGGATCTCTGAGAGACAGAGGTGCTTAACACACACAGTTCATAAGCAGACATCTCATGTGTGCTAAGGGCCCTGATGCGTGGCACTGTGCCAGGAGGTGACCTAAGCAATCTTAGAGGATTTTGCTAGATGGACAGTGGGAGAAAGGGAAGTCACATCAAGGAGACTAGCATGCATAAAAGCCTGAAATCACATGATATTCGTACAGAAAATGTAGTGTGAATAGAAAAAAGGGAATATGTTCTTTGGGGTTGAGAGCTCATGAGTAGCAGGGGGAAGAAGTGAGGCCAGAGAGGTAAACAGGGGCCTACACTCGAGGGCCTTGTGAGCCATACTGTGTACTTTAGACTTTGCCCTTCCAATGCTGGGATCCTGTGGAGGGTTTTCTATAGGGGCATGGCATGTGCAGAGTTGTATGTAAGGAAGGTGAGACCCATGGCTGTGAGGGGATGGGTTGTCTCATTTGTCCTCTAGCAATTCTGTAAGGCAGATGGGAAAATACTGTTTTCTACTTTTTATGCCTGAGAATGCTGAAGCTCCAGAGGTTAAATACCTTGCCAAAGTTCTCAGAACCCGAAAGCAGAGGACCTAGGATTCACCTGGCTTCCTGGATCTGAATCCCTTTCTCATGGGCACACTGCCATTGTTAACAGAGTCTTCTAGAAAGCTGGGCAGTGAGTAGATGCTGACAGAAGCAATGTGAAGCAAATGGTCATTGATACAATCTTGTTGAAGGAGTGTAGTGCTGGGATTTTGTGGCCTGTGGTGTTCAGTCTCCTCACCTCTGTGCCAGTGCATGGACAGCAAGAAACAGCGGGGAGCTTTGAGCTTCAAGTGCAACATTGCCTTGACAAAATCCATTTATCACTGTCTCGCTCATTAATTCACAGCAGCGTCTCCTGCCTGACGCTGGCATTTGTCAGTGGCTTGTTTCTGGAAGCCCCTGGTCTTCAAGGCTGGTCACCTCTGCAGCCCTCAGCCCCAGGGTGAGCCCGGGCAGTCAGAGGCAGGTCCTTTCCGCCTACATTTTGTAAAATGAAATAACTTTATTTTTTAAAACACAAAGGTAGCGTGACCTAGCAGTACAGAACATGAGCTTGGAGATAGGCAAACCTGGGTTTTAGATCTATGGCTGTGCCACTTAGGAAAGTTATGTAATGTATATGAACCTCAGTTCTCTTCTCTCTAAAATGAGCAAAGTCAAACCTACCTGAGAAGATGATCGTGATGAGGAAGATGAGATAGTGTTTATAAAGAGCCTTGGCATGACACCTGGCACGTATGAGTCCTCGATAATGGTGGCTTTAATTCCTGCTCTTATTGTTCCCACCACCACTACCAGCCATCTTGCTGCTACCACCAGTTAAAGAATGTTTGAAAAATAGAAAATAGAAGAAAAAAATCTTATAATCTCATCACCATGACGCAGCTACCCTTATAATTTGTTTCCTTCAAATCTTTTTTCCCCACTACTTCAGAGTATATCAGATTTTACAGCATATTTATTTTATAGCCAGGAAGGGTTTTTTTCCCCTTTATGGTGGGAACTGCATTATATTTATTTTTCTTATTTTTAATAGATAATTTTTCTGATTATAAAAATAGTGTGTAAAATTTAGAGACCATAGAAGAAGTCAAAAGGAAAACCATACTCATAGTGCCTCCTTTATGCTTAGCCCAGAGGCTATCACTGTTAACTTTTTGGAATAACTCCTTCCAGTCTTTTATTCATATTTTATTATAGATTTGAGATCATATTGCATATACAGTTTTTATGTGGTTTTCCAGTTCATAGGATATCACGAGTATTTTCCTTTATTGTAAACGTCATTTTCCAAGGCTGCATAATTTCCAAGTCATCAGATGGCTCTACCATAATTTACATAGAATTCTCCTGTTATTAGACATCTGAGTTTTTTTCCCAGTTCTTCAATCTAAGCAGCTTCCTATGACAGAACCTAGGGAACCAGCCTCAGTATAACCAGGAAGCATATGATGAACTTGTGCTGTGTGTATGGCCTGGGTGAGGCCTGGGGGGGACCCCTCAGATAGATACAGAGCCTGCCTCAAAGGAGCTCAGAGACTAGTCACCCTGAAATTATTTACTGGGGTTAAAATATACAGGTACTTCTTTGCCAGACAGTGTCAGGGAATCCACCTATATGCGGGTAACCGTCTTCCCTGTGGAAGCTGAGATCCTGGACGCATAACTTTTACAAAGAAAAAAGCCTCAGAAGCCTTGCTGCCCCTTCTCACCTACCAGTGGTTATTTTGCCTCCAATGCTCACATGCCTTTTGAGCTTGTTACCTTGACTGTTGGGGGCCTGTGCTAATTACCTTTGAATATCACTTCCAAGTGGTTTTTCACTGGGAAAGAGTGAGAAGCTATAGCACCAAGAAAGGAACTTGTGTGAGAATCAGGGAATCAGAGAGACCCTAGTCTTAGTTTTTGTTTTTTGTTTTTTGCGGTACGCAGGGCTCTCGCTGTTGTGGCCTCTCTCGTTGCGGAGCACAGGCTCCGGACGCGCAGGCACAGCGGCCATGGCTCACGGGCCCAGCCGCTCCGCGGCATGTGGGATCTTCCCGGACCGGGGCACGAACCCGTGTCCCCTGCATCGGCAGGTGGACTCTCAACCACTGCGCCACCAGGGAAGCCCCCTAGTCTTCATTTTGACTCACACTTCCTCTGGCACCTTGTAGTGTTAAAGATTGGACTAGATGACCTCCAGGGCTCTTCCAATTGACATTCCATGTGTACCTGAAGCCTTTTTCTTGCCAGGAGCTAAAGTGAGCGTCCTGATAAAGGTCACAGGATGCTTCTCCAGAGTTTCGAGTTCCTTTTAATTAGTACCTGAGGAGCCATTTATACCCTTATATTCCCAATCACTTCCTTCTGGTAGCATTTGGGACATGCGGAGATTGAAAGGCAAGAAGTCTCTCTCACTGGGTGCAGACACAGGATTCAGAACCCCAAATGATTGTCTTTTATGTATTAGGTATTTGTTCTTTATGTACTTTGTTCTTTCACTTATTCTCTCATTTAACAGGTGTTAACTGAGCCCCAGGTTTTGTACGGTCCATCTGTGTAATACAGAGGGGAACAAGTCTCAGCATTGTTCTCAAGACACACACAGTCTAGTGAGGAGACAGGAGAAAATGTAAAAGACCACAAGATGATTACTGCAGTGGGGGTACATATAAGTTGCACAATGCAAGGAGTGCTTGAGTCTGCCTAGAAGCAACAGCAAGAGAGTCTCTGGATGCTTTGAAATTTTAGAGGATGAGTAGAAGTTTTTTAGGTAGGCAGTTGAGGAGAGGGCATTCCTGGCAGAGAAACAGCATGTGCAAAGGCCTGGAGGTGTGGGGAGAACGTGTTGTGTTCAGAGAACTGCAGGTGGTTTGTGTGGCTGGAAGGTGAAAGGGAGAGTGAGCAGATGAGGAAAAGTCAAGAATTTTTCCTCAGGCAAGTCTGTTTCCACTGAATTCTTTGCTCATTTTATCAGTCCAGATGAGAGTGATGGATTTTTAGCTCAGTTTTCCAAAACTGTCATTTGTATTCCCTTATACTTCCATTTCTATAGTAACACATGTTCATTATAGAAAGTTTGAAAAATACAAAAACGTAGAAAGAAGAAAGGATTAAAAAAAAAATCGCTCATGGTCTCTGCCTAAAAACAAATACTTTAACACCTTGGTGTATTTCCATTCAACGGTTTTTTGTTTTTTCACTTTTTCTTTTTATGTAGTCATGAGTGTATCGTAACTATAGTCTTTTGTACATGGTGCCCCTTTCTACTTACTTCCTAAAATTTGCCAAAAAATAGATGTTATTATCATTAAAATATAACTGATCATAAAATATAATGGCTGAAATATATTTTTTGTTTAATGTAGCTTATTTTCTTTCTCTTTACAGGTCTCCTGTGGCTCAGAGCATAATCTGGCAGTGATTGGTAAGTAATTAGTATACTGATAACTGTGTTTATTCTGAAACTCATGGGCAGATTTGGAGGACTCTTGGTTAACCAAAGGCCAGGGTGCATGCGTCTGTGTATGTTGGGGAAGAGTCTGGGAAATGGAAGCCTTTGTTGATCAAGGCTTTGCCAAAAGCCCTTTTTCTAAAAATTTCTATTCAAAAAGGTGCCTGAGCTGGCTTCCCTGCCTCAGGAAGTGGCATTTGGGAATATTAAAGATCTTACAGGCTGGGGGCATCCTGTGTAGAAAGCCAGACATAAAAGGGGAGGAGGATTGGGCTGCTCCTGGTGTTTGAATAAATCCTTTGCACCGAGTTCTTTCCTCTTGCTTGGCTCTTTCTTTGGAGATGGGGGGTTCTGCTCGTTGCTATTTTCTGATAATCATTAGTTCAAATAATTGCCCGCCTCGGGGCTTTAGGTCTCCCATCTGTGATAGGGAGGGGTAAAAACAGGAAACCAAGGTTCTCTCCAGCCCCGACATTTTAGGACTCTGTTACAGCCCCATCACTATCTGCCTTGAGTAGGTGATGTCTGTCCTGTGTACTTCCCTCTCCCAGCCTCTCTCAGCTTCTGAGGGGCGAGACCCCTGTGTTCTCCTTTTGTTTCCTGCTTATATGCAGCACCCAGAGCAGTGAGCAGTGCCTGGCCCTCAGCGGAGACTCCAGCACTGTTTTCTGAATTAAGCTAGACTGGCTCGCTCAGCTGCCTGGGTTGGCAGCAGTTTGAAGCACTACTTTGTAGGCCCGAATGTGATGTGCAAGGAGGCGGAACCAAGGACAGTAGAGGAGGTAGGCTGACAGCCAGCAGAGGGGGTGGGGAGTAAAAAGCGCTGGAGTCAGAGAGGGAGTGAGAAAATGTAACAGCAAACCTGCATGCTTTGCAACACCAGATATGTTATACCGGAACTACTCCAGCCTGGGTGTAATTAAGACAAGCTAATCAAAGAATCAGAGGCGGTGCCTAGGATGTTGCTGCTGCTGTCACTGGACTAGGAGAGAGGTTGGCACAAACAGTAAGATTGCAGGGAATCTAAATACATGAAAAAACAAAATCCAGTTGAAGGAGGAGGCCAGAGCCAGGAGGGTGGCAGGCTGAGCCGACAGGCAGCCTAGGGCTGGAGAAAGAGCATAGACTCTGCAGGCAGCCAGCTTGGTTTAAACCAGCTCCATCTCTGTGTGAGCTTCCATGTTGTCCCCTTATCTATGTAATGGGGATAATTCCACCTTGCAGGATTGTTGTGAGGATTAGAGGAGATAAGGCGTGTGAAACACCTGTTACTATATAGGGGATGCGTAAGAAATTAATTCATAATTCCATTTCTTTTTCATTTCTCTTGGTCTGGGTGGGGAGAAGGGAGAATCACTTGTTCGTGTAACTGTTCCAGTGAAGTAATTCTTGGTTGGGAGAGAGAAATGATAACATTCTGGAAAGGTGTGTCTAGCGTTACTACCCAAGTGAGGAAGGCAGCAGAGGCGGTGGGAGAGCAGGGCATGGCATGCTGATGAACTCCTCAAGGGCAGACCTCTTATTTTCTGTTTTGTCCCCAGTGCCTGGGGCCTGGCTCACAATCTGCTGAATGAATGGTTCCAGAGTCAGGAAAGGTGGGCCCAGTCACGAGACTCTGGACATGTCCACCTGCCTGCATGTGAGCCGGGATCAGAGGCTCCCTGACACCTGGGGAAGGGGGCCCTCAGTGGGTGCCCTGCAGGGTGCAAGTTGTATAGCAGGAAGCGATGAGAAGCCTCCTGTTAGCCCTGGCAAGAGGCCAGCAAGAGGGGGACAAGCTGGAGGAGGAGAGTTCCTACCAGCTGAAAGCCTGGCTCTCACAGCCAGCTCCCCGCTCCCCCCTCCTGCCCTTGCATACTTTAGGTGGATTTCCCTGCCTTCAGTCTCATCCCCGAGATGCAGGCCCTCAGGGCCTGGTGCTGGGTCACACACGTGACAGGCACAAAATGGTTGTAGAATAGACTAGAACAGAATATAGAGAAGCCAAACTTTGCTCAAAAGTAGAGGTGGCCTTAATATCTAATGAATGCACAGCAGACAGATCAAACTGGAAGGGAGGGGAAAGAGATGGGTGAAAGGATATAATTCAGGACCTACTCTGTCTAAGAACGGACACAACTCCACAAAGTGTTTTTGTTGTACCCACTTCATAAGGAAGAAAACTGAGACTCAGAAGTTAAACAAGTTGCCCAGGGGTAAGTACCAGTAAATGGTAGAGCTGTGTGCCTGACTTCTAAGAATGCTCCTTCGACTCTGTCATATCCTTGGGGCTGCAGGATGCGGAGTGGTTAAGAAGAGCACAGGGACTGGGATCATATCGCCTGGATTCAAATCCTGGCTCCTCCGCTTATGAGCCATGTAACCCTGTATAAATGGCTTAACCTCTCTGTCTTGATTGCCTCATCTGGAAGATCATATTATTGACCTCATAGGGTTGTTATATAAAGTGCTAACAGTGCCTGACACAAAAGTAGGCTTGGTGAATGTTAGCTGGTGTTGGTGGTGTTGTTATATGTTAAGAATATAATTTAAGGAAGTAATTGTAAGATGACTGTAAGAAGGCTGAGGCTCAGGGTGGGAGTCTCAGAAGCTGGAGAGAGAAGTGTCTCCCCCACCTAGAATGTCAGGGTCCAGGGCAGGACCTCAGCATAGCTGCAGAACGGATTTGTAAACTGGAGCCTGAGTACCCCGATCTGGGGGATCTGGAAATCCCAGCAGCCCTGGAAACAGTGCCAGCCCAGATTTGCTCCAGGTCAGGATTCTGCTATCCGCTGTTCCAGGCAGGGACTCGGGACCTGCACGTTCCAGCCTGAGGGAAGCCCCGCAGCAGCCACATTTCAGGCTTCTTGGGAAATCAAAATAATTCGACTTTGATACTTCATTGCTTCCAGGTTTCTTTTTCCCCCCCTTCTTTTGCAATTTGGTTTGCTTCTTTTCTTAGTTTTCCAATGAAATTTCTCTTGACCTGTTCTGTGTTTGCTGCCAGGTCCCTCTTCCTCAGTGAGCCTGATTCCTCATCTGTAAAACCAACATCACAATACCCACCCCAAAAGTTGTTTTTCCACATGGCATAGGTATGTTGGTTGCCTGCTACAGAATAGGTGCTCAGCAGGTGAACTTGGCAGGTTCCTGAGGTTATTTGCTTGCTTGCTTCCTTCCTTTTCACCCAGGATTTCCCTCCATATATGACGAAGCTGGCTGGCTCCCATTTGTGGGCGTAGGCGGTCAGCAGAGGTGAGATGAGGACATGTGGCCACCACTTGCTCGGAAGATCCCTGCCTGCCAGGGGCAGGCTCCCCAGGCCCAGCTCTGTCTTCGGGGCCCTCACTTCCATGCCTGGTTGAATTGGCTCCAGCTGTTTTGCTTCCCCCCAGGAGCAGCTTATTTTGGCTTGAATGGGCGATTTGTTTGCCTTCTCTCCTGATTTTCGGTTGTTCAGCCTTCCCTTCCTGCAGAGAAAAAAGAGCTGACCACATTTCCTTTCTTCCGCTCCACGCAGACCCTTGGAAGGGATTTTATTGGTGGCCTTTTCCTGGAGCACTCACGCTTGCCAGACGGGCATTATTAAAGGGTTAGATATTTGGCAGCAAAGTGTAGAGCGTCCTCCTCCAAGCAAAAGCATCTCTTTTACCAAATTGGAGCTATAATCTATGCAAGGATCTTTTATTTTTAATTTTTTTCATTTCACTGATGACTTCCAATTGTTGAACCTTTGTAATATGTGTGGTGGAACAACTGACCTTGCATGGCCTGAGACCCATCAAGTGGGGTCATGTGAGGATTTAATAGCGAGAACTAACTCATTTTGACACTGGCTATAGCCCTGAGAGGCAATACCTCCAAACCCAGAGCCTTGTAGAGAGCTTAGAGGCAAGGACAGACTTGTATGGTCCTATGCACAGTAGGATGGGCAGAGCGTAAATGCTTTACTTATATTGTCCCATTTAATCCTCATACCACATTGATGCACTGTTGTTAACCCCATTTTCTAGATGGGGGAAGCTGAAGCTTAGGCTGAGCAGTTTGCCCCGCCAGGTCATCTGATCAGGAGGAATCTGTGTGTTGGGTCTTCAACCCAGGCCTCTATCTCCAGAGCCTGTGGTCTTCTGCCTGTCTGACCTGTTTTTAAGGCCACCAGATAAGATTATTTCATCTCTTCATTTCAATATTTAGCTCCCCTTCATGTTGGCAAGTTCTTCTGTATATGTAGATTATATGTAATCTGGTTCAGATTAAGCAGTTCTCGGTATAATAACCAGATAAAATCGAGACATTGATGACATTGTGTTGTCATCACACTTCCCTCTCTACCTTCTGAGATTCCCACCCCTTTTAGGATTCTTCTTCCCCCTTCCGTTGTCCCTTCTCTTTAAAAAATTTTTTACTTATTTAATTTTTGAGTAATACATGTACATTATTTAAAACTTAAAAAGCACAAAAAGGTTTAAAATGAAAAATTTCCCTCCAGCTTTATCTCCCATCTATCCAGAGTGCCAAAACCCTTCTACCATATGTGCAGCTAATGCCTATTATTAGTTTCTTCTGTATCTTTCTAGTTTCTTTTTGCAAATATAAGTGAATACTAAGATATATTTTTATCCCCCTTTTTACGTAAATTGTAGTATACTTTACATGCTTTTTAGTGTCTGATTTTTTTTCTTTCAATAATTGATCTGGGAGATCTTTCCATATCAGTATAAAAGCCTTTCTAGTTCGTTATTACAACTACATAATGTTCCAGTGTACCTATATTCTGTGATTTATTTAATCAGTGCCCTGTTGATGGACATTTAGGTGATTTCCTGTCTTTTGCTTATTACAAGTAATGATGTAGTGAATTACCTTGTATATATGTTATTTCATATGTGGGTGAGTGTAGCTGTAGGATAAATTCCTAGAAGTAAAATTACTGTATCAAAGAGAAAGTGTATTTGTTATTTTGCAAGATACTGCAAAAATTGGCTTCCATAGGA